TCCTTTTCACAAAAGACATGTCAGACTAATTATGATAAAAATGACTGGTACTATCCTTAATATTTTCAAGAATGCTGCACAAGGCATGGTAAGCCAAGGGTGATAACCTAGCAGTCACATCAAAAGGTGTTATGTGAAAATTCTGGTCCACAAGTTATGAAAAATGACATAAGTTAACATCTGCAGAAAGTGACTGAAACAAAATTTAAGAGAAATAAATTATAAATAGCCCATATCAGCAAGCATAATGTAAGAAGGAGAACTGATCCATATTTGTGAGACTAAGAGAAATGGGAAGGATGTATTGGATTTGAGCGGAAGAGATTTAATCTTCTGGGTGGAATTGATGAACACAAAGATCACGACGGAAGCAAAGATGCAGGTCTGATTATGAATGACTGAACTAAAATATATTTCAGAAAACAAAGTGCTGCATACAAAAGTAGGGTGACACTTGTATGTTATGTTTCTCTGAATGCTGGCAATATCACAACAACTGATAAATTTGAAGAAAATTCACAACATAATGGGATCTTCTAGGTAATGTGACTAAAATGAGAAAACACTAGAACAAATAATTGGGCCATTCGGGGATATGAGTTGGATATGAGAATGGATATTGGTGTGTATCCACTTAAAAACGATCTGTTGAAAAGTATGAGTGCTTTGTTTATGATGAATACAAGGAAAGTACTGAAAGATAAAAGATAATAAGATTCTGAGTGTGGGAGAGACCTTTTTCTGTAGAACCAACAGTGAACCTTGGAAAACAATGAAAATTTTAAAATATTCGAAAGCAGCAAATGTTATAACAGAACAAATACATGAAAAGAAAATGCAAATCCAATATTGAGAAGTGTTAGAGACAGATTAATCTTCCAACTAAATAACAAAAGAGAGGACATAAGATTTGGAAACAGCTTGTAACAGATGGAGAAGAAATATGTTACAGGGCCCAAGAATAATATGGAGTTATGCTAATGAGATCCACAAAAAAGCACTCATGAGGGAACAAAGTGAATTTTAGATATGCTATATCTAAAGGAATACAGAACTGAAAATTAATATATTTAACATCCAGTTATTTGTTATACATTTGACAAAGAAACAATGAAATTATGCACCTGATGAAATATTTACTAAGGTAGATGTAATGAAGAAAATTTAAAGCAAACAAATATTGTTAGAAAGGCAGTGTATAGTACACAATGAACTGAAATATCTGTCAAAAGAAACAAAAATGATTTTGTAGAAGAGCTTATCTGAAAGGGAACATCATGACAAAATGCATGTAAAAATACTTTAGCTACAGAAAGTATTCACACTTTCTGTTAACAGGATAATATATTAACTGCCAAAGCAAAACTATATTCAAACAATCTTACCTCTGTATCCCAAGAATCCTGAAAGATAGCATTTCGGCTACCACGTTTAGTTTGTGGAACTGGCCCATCCTCCTCTATGCCATTTCGTCTCCTCTTCCTGCAGCAAAAATTGGAGAGCAGTAGAATTAGTTCATACTTTTAGAAGATACAATTACGGCTAACATACAGTTTAAAAGTATTCATTTTTTCCCCATCTGCCCATTGCTACAAAGGCATCAGATATTAAACCCAGAAGAAAGCCGTATCAAAAGGTGCAATTTATCCTTTATTTAACCTTTCCAGCTTGGCTACCTGCGCTGACGTGGGATGTGTGTGTGTGTCAGATGCACAGCTTCATTTGTAAAAATGGCACATGCACATGACCTTCACTCACAAATGGAGCTGCGCTCGCATCACGCCAAAGCTCCAATTGCGTGACAGGCACTTGCACTTGTGTGCGAAACTCAACTTACATGAGTGGAGGGCGCCTGGCTCGCACGTGAAGCTCTACTCGCACAAGCACCCTCCGCTCACACCAGTGGAATTTGAGGAGTGAGCGCTTGCCCAGTTCTCCTGCTGCCCAGTTTTGAACAGATTGGTAGTGGACTGTAGACTGGGGGGGCCCTGCTGTAAAGCATCTTTCATTATCCTATGCTAGTTTTAAAATCATGTGCAGATTATCTTTTAATGTTAAAGTTTAAACTTCATCTAGGTGCTTAGTAATCTCAATGCAGTGCTCAAAAATCATCTCAGCAGCAAACATTTTTAAATGAAACTTATCCTGAATGGAATGTCTGGCAATGAAAAATAGTTACAAGTGGTTCTCGATTTACAACCATTCATTTAGTGACTATTCAAAGTTACCACAGCGCTGAAAAAAGTGACTCATGACTGTTTTCCCCACTTATAATCACTGCAGCATCCCCATGGTCACATGATCAAAATTCAGACACTGGGCAACTGCCTCATATTTATGACACCTGCAGTGTCCCTGAGTCGTGTGATCACCTTTTGCGATCTTCTGACAAGCAAAGTCCATGGAGAAGCCAGATTCACTTAACAACCGTGTTATTAACTTAATAACTGCACATGGTCACAGGAACAAAATTTGGATGCTTGGCAACTGGCTCATATCTATGATGGTTTCAGTGTCCTGGGATCACGTATTCACCTTTTGCGATCTGACAAGCCAACGGGGAAGCCAGATTCATTTAACAACCATATTACTAAAAAACTGCAGTGATTCACTTACCAATTGTGGCAAGAAATGTCATAAAATGGAGCAAAACTCACCAAGTTCACAAAGATTTTGCTTAGCAACAAAATTTTTGGGCTCAATTGTAGTCATAAGTTGAGAATTATCTGTATATTTCTCAACTTAATGGTCTTCTATTAGGTTATCAGGATTTATTTTATTTGTCACAAATGTCAGACAGGTATAATAAGTGTTAGTTTAAGTCCAAAGCAAACACATTTTTTGAGAAAAACGTTTTCTGTTTTTAAATGAGCATAAGTTCCATATGGATATTCTTTAAGATGTCCTTTGTTAAAGACAATGCTCAAAAGCACCAATATATCTCATACAATATTTCAGAAGGGTTCACGAAATGAAGATTATTCATAAACAAACATTCTTTAGATGTTCTAAAAGATTGAAGCAAATTGAAGTTACACTAGAGCCTTCAAAGGTTTGGTAGAGATATAAAAATATGTCAATGTATTTATTCAGCCCTTCAATTTGACAGCTTCTTTGTCTTGTTTATATAGTTATTGAATGAGAATATTTTTTAAGGGAGATATTGTCATTTTGAAAATTATTTCATTTTCCAATTATGAACATTAATCCTTACATATTGAATAGCCCAATGACTATTTTTTTCTGGGATTTCTCAAATATGCAACCATCATAAACTATCAAGCTGTACAAAATCTTAGTATCAGGCAATGAACCAATAAAGCAGTATATTGTGATTTGAAACAGGCATTAGGTTTTGACAGAAATGCATTTACAAGTATTGCATAGATGGGCCTAATGTGCTACACCAACATATACATGTTCTCATAAATAACATCAGAGTAGCACAGCTGCTAAATAGGATTCCATTGCAACCCTATGAGCTATATCTCCATTTTTAATCTCATTTTAATCTCCATTTTTAATCTCAGCCATAAATTCACTGGGTGGCTTTTAGAAAAATTACAAACCTCTTCTTTCTACATTCAAACTTTTACATGTGGCAATTTTGTAATAATAATTCAAGGCCGGTTTTACAAGGCCTTAAAGAATGGCCGAGAAAGCTGTTAAGAGATTAGCTTCTGAGAAACTTCAGGGTCAAATTTCTATTTCTGTCATCAAGTTGACAGAAAGAGCTCAGCTCGAGCAGAGTTTCTTGATGTAATCTACCTATTAGTGTTCCTGCAAAAAAAAAAAGAGAGAGAGAGAGCTAGAGAGTATATATCAGCCTAAACTACTTCAAGGGAAAATAAAACATTAAAAAAAAAGCAGCAGTAGCAGCAGCAGCACAACCAAAATGGCCAGTACCCTGGATTATTATTAGCAGTATTATTTTCTCTTTTATTCATTAAACATGAAACTCTTAAAAATGTATCACAAATATCATTGACTGGTGCTAATGGTGGATACCCGTTGCTGCCTTATTATTGTTGTTGTTCTTATCTTTACTATCTTTATTCATTAAACATGAAACTCAGTCAACTGAACATTTAAAAATGTATCACAAATATTATTAACTGGCACTGATGATTGATACGGGTTGCTGCCAGCATCCTAGGTATCGACCAAGTAATTATTATTGTTGTTATCCTCGTCGTTATTTTTACAAGGGAAAGATCGAAAAAAGAGGAAAATGCGAGGTGCCTATTCGGGCCAAACCCGAGTCGAAGCGAGAGGGCCCATGTTAGCCTTGAGCCTTTCCCATCGCCTAATTGTACCCCACTTCCCAGACTCCCCAGCCAGCTCATAAGGAGCGAGGCGCCTGCGGGTGGACGATCTTGGGAAACTGTCGCTCCGACAACATTGAGGAAAGGCAGGCGGCAATCCAGATTTTCCGGCCAGAAGTCGCAGCTGACGCGAAGGCCGGAGGCAATATCCACGGCAATGACCACACAATCGCCACCGGGGAGCCCCTCCGCTCGCCAGGCGTCCCGGCCCTGCTGCTCCCAGCTTGGTCGCCTTCGCCCTCGGCTTTTCTGCCCGCGGCTGCTTCAAGTCTCCCTCCTCCCCCCAACGTCCCCGAGGCCATCCCGTTTTCCGCGCCCGGCTCACCTCTGTCTCGCTCCTCGTTCGCCGGGCAGCGGCCCACGGCAACTCATGGCCGGGCTGAACCCCAGTCCGCTCGGGCTCCAAGCAGCGAAGACGGCAAGGCCCCTCCCCCACGCGATCCGGCTCCCAAACAACCTTCCCCCTTCCACCCGCCTCTTCCTTCCTTCTCTCAAGCCTAGCACACTCCCCTTCCGGTGTGCACGACTCCTGCGCAAGCGCACGAAGGAGCGCGGCCGGGACCGCCTCAAGGCCAGAGACGCTCTTGCCTTTGCTTGCGCATTGGCGGTGCGGCCCACGAAGCCGTGACTCTAGAGCGCATGTGCGTCAAGGCGACGGATGACGCGTGCGGCGCAGGCGCCGTCGTCCAACTTGACTCGGGCTCCGCTCGTGGGGGAAGGTCAAAGGTTTCAATTCCGCCCGAAGGGCGGTTGTTTGTCGTTTCCAACCGTTGGATTCGTGAGCTGCTTGCTTTATCAACCGTAGCTGAGTTCGAGTTCAGCGCGGTTTCCTCCTGAGTAAAACCTTTCTTCGCTTGCGGATTTTTATTCCCAGAAGGGAACCCATCTTCTGGGTAAGCATTTTGTGAGATTGAACGAGTTTTCCTCCGAAGGAAAGTGATGGATCGGAGCTTTTTTCGAAATAAATGGCCCTGGATTCCCTCAGGCTAAGCCATTGGCTTCAAGGCGGAGCTCTGACCTGGAAGCAATCTACCCCACTCCCCCTTTAAATTGCTGCCTTTTGGGGTGGCGATGAGCGACAGTTTAACTGAGGCAAACTTTAAGAGTAGGAACAGATTTAATTTGAAAAGTGTCTAGTTGTGAAATAGGTCTGTTTGTCTGCATCTTTTTAGCGTCATTGTAGCATCGTGATGGGCATCTGTGACGCCGATTCTTGCCAGAAGAGACTCGATCGTAGGAACTTTTATTGATGAATTGCTGTTTTAAGCAATTTAAAAAAAATATTACTATATACTTTTATTCTTTAAACATGAAAGTCAACTGAACATTTAAAAATTATCACAAATGTTATTGTCTGGCACCGGTTGCTGCTAGGTATCGACTAAGTTATTATTATTTCAGCCATGTGAGTCTGTTCTTTAGGTTCTTCCAAATGATTGATCAGTGGGGTTCTAGGTAAAATATATTTGTGGTAGGTCAATAGTACAGTAAACATACTATAGATGATGATAGGAATTGTGTTCTTTAAAATCTGTTTATATAGAAGATGGGAGAAATGTTCTACACTTTTTAAAATATAAACACAGGCTTCATAGTATCTCTATAGTGTATGCTTATGTACTATTTTGCACAATAATATCTGAATGAAAAATGAAAAGACCAAATGTGTTGGAAAAAAGTGAGGCAATGATTATTTCTGGCATTGAACCATTCTATATCCTTGGTACAAGTTCCAACTGGTATTAAGCTCTTCCCAAATTTTCATTCAGGCAAGTTTTTCTTAACTCTGCCTGTTCTTCCAATGTCTGGTTCCATTTTCTTTTTCAGGTAGAAAAATGGCTGGCAACTCACCACAAATACAAATCTGCCCCTACTGCAAAAAGCAGTTTAAACGTCTCAAGTCTCACCTGCCTCACTGTAAGATGGCAGGTAGTGAAGATTCAAGAGAAGCTTTGCCTCTCTTCAAAAAAGCTTGTGATTCTGAGCGGCTAAGTACTGAGAAAAAGAAATGGCAGATCAGAAGCTTAAAAACTTCCCCCGAAGAAGAAGAAGAAAGCAAAAAGAGTAAAACTGACTTGGTAACAAAAAAAGGAAGAAGAAAAAATATTGGAGTAACTGAAACAGTTGTAAACAGCAACCTGCCTAAAGATAAAGATACAGAAAAGAAAATTAAAAGTGCTAGTGAAAAGTCTCCCCAAACAAGGGAAAATAAACAAAAAACTTCAGAAGCGCTTTCAGCACCAGTAGATTTGTTTCCAAAAACAAATCTCCCAGAGAAGTTATCCACAGTCGAAAAAAACAATAGAACTTCTTTACTTAAAGAAGAGATAATACCTGGTCTTAGTTTAGAATCACTGACACAAAGTGGAAAAGCCACTTCAGAACCACATCAAAAACCCTGCACAAAACAGAACGTAGAGTCACCTGGAGAGCAGCGTGCATCCCTTTCAACAAATAATTTCATTGAGAGTCTTCAACCAATTCATCAAGGACTTGGTGGCAGAATAGAACAGATCACTGCCTCTCATCATGTGACAGCATTAGAAAACAGATGTGAATCCTCTAGTCATGATAGTTTGTCAAATGAAAATATCCTTGATAACAGTAAAACAGGACAGTGGCCTCTGAAATCAGTGTCAGCAGAAGCAAACATTGCTTTGGCCAATAGGCAGCAAATTATTACAGGCAATGTGGACAAGAAGAACATTTTAGAACTTGAAGGAAATTTCAAAAATCGAAGCACGGAAAATGACATATCCACAATTAAAGCATGCACATCACAGGACCGTGTTGTTGTAGACAGCTATGGAAAGGTTACCAGAGGTCCAGTCCACTTGTTTAAAAGTAAGTTAAATGCAAATTCGTTATTTTTGAAAGCAGAGGATTATCCTAAGGAACACCTCATTGATCCAGATCCTAGGCCAAATGTTTGTCACACATTCACAGAAGTTCTCAGAGAAATGAAAGTTGATAAAACTTCTAGCTACTTAAGTGCTTTGGAGAAAAATACATATTTGTGCTCAAGAGCCTTTGAGACAAAAGAAGGTAAAAATTCAGTGATGGGTTTAAGCAAACCCTCACTCCAAGAATTAAAAATGACTACTTTTCCAGAACAAAGCATAAAACTCTCTTCATTAGGACTCGAGTGGTTCTCTGAACTGTATCCCAATTACCAGAGGCTGAGCTTACTTTTAGAGAGACAATCAGAATGGGATACCAAAATATCAGAAGCTCACATTCTGCTTTGTGGCAAGCACAAAGGTAAAAGTTTTTAATTGCACAGAATTCAAAAAAGGAACATAGCTCCTCAATAGACTGTTTCAAATGGATATTAATTCATGTGTGGTTTATGCTGTAAGAGAGACAAATACAGGTAGTCTTCAACTTATGACCACAATTGAGCCCAAAATTTATGTTGCTAAGTGAGAAATCTGTTAAATGAATTTTGCCCCATTTTATGACTTTTGTTTCCATATTTGTTAATTGAATCACGGCAGTTGTTAAATTAGCAACACGGTTGTTAAGTGAATCTGGTTCCCCCATTGACTTTGCTTGTCAGAAGGTTGCAAAAGGAGATCACATGAGCCCGGAATGCTGAAATGGTCGTAAGTGTGAAAAATGGTCATAACTCATTTTTTTCAGTGATGTTATAACTTTGAACAGCCACAAAGCGAACTGTTGTGAGTCAAGGACTATCTGTATTGATGTGCATAGTATAAGTTACTGTTTGATAGAATCAGTGTATTCCCTGAGGCATATTTAATTTCAATTTGTCAGTTAGCCTAAACTGAATTCGTTGTGCAAGGGCAAACTAGGACATTCTTTGAAATAGCATTCTTTAAATTGAGAATTATTTAAGAGGCTGAGAATGTTGTTCTAAGCCCCTCCTTGAGAGATGGAATGGCTGTTAAATAGATGCATGTGTAAGTATATGTCTCTTTGCATTTTTTGTCCTTATATATAGCAGAATACTTGTGTGCACAGAAACATTTTCACATACTTTGGGAATGCAAGCAAACTATCTGTAGAATCTATATAAAAGTCCTTTAAAATGTTTTGAGATATTTTATGCTTAACATATAATGCTGTGTTTCAGAGTATATTCTTTAGCACCGAGTATAGGGGTGTCAAACTCAATTTCATTGAGGGCCGCATCAGGGTTGTGTTTGACCTGGGGGGGGCATGGCCAGGGTGGGCATGGCCAGTTCAATGTCACTCATGTTGGGGGCGCCTGAGCGCTCTGCCAGCGAAAATGGGCTCCGTTTTCAACTGTGACGGCCTCCTGCAAAACAGAGCTCAGAAGGGCCGCATGCAGTCTTCCCAAGTTCCATTTTTTGCTGGCAGAGGCATGGCGGGCTGGTCCTTTGCTGTTTCCAGTGCGGCCCCATGGGCCAAATCTAAGCACCCCGCAGGCCGGATCCAGCCCCTGGGCCTTGGGTGTGAAACTCCTGACCTAGTGCAAAATATATGCTATTAAGAGATTAAAATTGAATCCTGGGAATCAAATATTGTTAATGGAATGTACAGGCACACTGAAATAATACATAGTAATAAAATAAATCCTAAAACAACCTATAGATAGGATAATATTTTACATGTCTGAATGTATAAGATATTGCAAACGTGGTTCTGTTTGATGCATTGTGCTAGGCCAAAGCATATTTATCCATGACTTATTAAATAACCTACCATTGTCTGCACATGCCAAACCAAAGCCACATAAGTTACATTGTAGCTTGGCATATAATCACAAAGCCACACTTTTTCTTGCTACGGGCATGGTAGATTTCTAGAAGAAACCACTCTACATAGCAATAGCAATAGGACTTAGACTTATGTACCGCTTCACAGTGTTTTACAGCTCTCTCTAAATGATTTACAGAGTCAGTCTATTGCCCCAACAATCTGGGTCCTCATCTTACCCACCTTGGAAGGATGGAAGGCTGAGTCAACCTTGAGCCTGGTGGGATTTGAACTGCCAAATTGCAGGCAGCTGGTAGTCAGCAGAAGTAACCTGAAGTACAGCACTCTAACCACTGCACCACCAAGGCTCTTATGGATTGTAATGAACAAAATTGAGGATCAGATAATGTTGGTTTAGTTTTTTTTAAACCAGTTGTTATATTACAAGGAAACGAGAAAAAACATTCTTTTTTCTGCCAAAATGTTCTGCTCTGTTGCTTTCCTGCAAAGAACAGCATTAAAATGATTTCTTTAGACATCCTGCTTTCTAGATGCACAGATGACTTTTATTCATAATATATCCCTTTGGTTAACTATTGTTCTGATCACAAAATGTATATTGGAAGAATCTTAAGATAGAGATGCTCTATCAAAACACTGTTCTAAGCCCAAACAGCCAGATTTGCACTTTAGGTGGGACATTTCATGCTTACAACAAATTAGAGTGAAACAAACTTTAATTGTACCTATTCAGAACTGCAATATAAATCTTTTTTTAAGCTTGCTTTCGCTGTTCTATGCAAGGTAGGATATTGTAATTCAAATATTATCTTGCAAGCCAACATACTGCTGTCTGCATCCTCACCGACTAGAATACACATGCAAATGAACTGACACAAATTCAGAATGAATGTTAGGAACCATAGTCTATTCACTGACCATCCATTTTCTTATTAAACCAACTAAAAATAAATGCACGTATTCCCATGTACATTATAGCTTACATTGGAGGGAAGCACCAAATATTCTACCAGGAAATACTACAGTACATTGGTGTACCTGAGAAGAAATGAAAATAGGTGTTATAGTCAGCCTTGGAAAGTTGCAAAGAGGGCTTGCATAAAATATAAACTAACATCATTCTAGCTGTTCTGTCTCCCAGTTCCTCTGGCAGAAAAGAATCTAAAGGTTATCAAACCTCAGGGTCTGCCACAGAGGATACTTGAAGCAACATTCAGAGGTGAGAGGAAGTTGCATTCTGCTTTGAAATGGATAAAAGCTTTGTTATAATAACCAGGGACTAGCAGGGGAAGATGGCTGGAGTCTAACTTTTGTTGTGAATGATAAAGGAAGTATCATTTTGCTTGTATCTCATAAAACTACTTGTTCTTCAATAGCCTGGAACGGATACTTGAACAGGAACATTAATGTGAAAAAGTATGGATTGCCTGGGATTTCTCTGCTGCTGCTGGGCTTGTGTACCTTTGGCTATGCCTGGAGATATCACATTAGTAAGTGTTTCTTCCCTTGTATTTACAATTTTATCCGAGAAATGGATTATATGAGTGTTGATGGGTTTGGACTGGGAAATGGGTTAAGTCTGTATATGTCAGTGGCTGGATTTGACTCTAAGCCTTTAGTTATTGAAAATACCTTGCATTATTTTTGAAAGCCATAATTTTTTTAGTTATAGTTTGTTGAATATGCCGTATTGAGTAGATTTATACATTTACGAGAAACATAAGTCATAATTTAAAAACTGCAAGTATTAATTCCTAAGCCAAACCCAAACATATCACATAGCTTGGTGTGGTGTAGAAAATAGTTTGAATTCTAAGTTTTACTGCATCAATACATAATTATTATTACTTTGATACTTTCACAATGCAGAGTTATGCTATTCTGTTTGAAAGTAAGATCTTGAGTTTTAGCCAAGTTTACTCCCAACATTGGATGGTGCTTTAGGTATTTATATTTATTTGAATATTAGGGAAAATCAACAGGGAAGTTAAATTGATATAGATATATCTGTGCTACAATGCATATCATTACTATAATAACTCTTGTCTTTTGCTCCTGCTCCTGAAGAATTTAAGCGGAGGAAATACCCAGATGAAGATGCAACAGTATAAATATGCATTTGCATACTGCTCAATCATGGAACTGGCCAGTAAAATGGATATTATCTGTGCTGCAGAAGTAACATGACAGTATTTTGACTAGTCACTTGGGATCTCTTTAGAAATGGTAACCTCCCATGGTATGTTGGTTAAAAAAAAAAACAATCTCGTAATCCTGGCTTTTCTTGGGCAGGATCTGATGTCCATTTTGCATCATCTGCAGTGTTTATTTGAGACTCCTTTTGACCCGCAGAATGTAATTAGTGGAAAAAGTGCTCTCTGGGGTGTCCTCTGCCACCTGGGTCCTCTGTAAGTGCTGGGAGTGGAAGAGCACAGCGGGCCACATCCAGGAAATTGTTTCAGTGGACCATAGTGGGGGAAGACAAGACATCCCACTAGGGTACATTAGGGCTTGATTTTCTTCCCTGTCCTGTTAAACATTCATGTGAAAGTGCTGGGAGAGATCCTCTGTTGGTTTGGTAAGATGCCACCAGTATGCTGATGAGCCATAGCTCTTCATTACACTGGAAGCTTAACTGGGGGAGTTGTGGAAGTCCTGACTGAATTGAAATCCAACAAGACAGAGTTGGGTTTATTGTGAGGCAGGTGGTTCCTTATAGCAGCGGTCCCCAATCTTTGTGGCTTGGTAGCCTGGCTAGGGGGGATGGGAAGTGGGCCATGTGACTGGTGGGCCAGTGTGGCGTGCACATAACCCTTGTACCAGCACTGGGCTGGTGCACATGTGCACAAATGCCTGCCAGTCCACCACTTGTGCAGGTTGAGCCACACACTTGTGCAAGCTCTGGCCAGCCACTCATGCGGCCCAATTCTGAATAGGCCATCGCCCGGTAGTGGGCCACAGCTTGGAGGTTGGGGGCCCCTGCCTTATAGAGCCAGGCTGTAAGCCCTTTTAGTTTTGAATTCTGAAACCAACTTTTTGAACCAGATATATGGAGAAAATAATTACCAAGATCTTTGCATTCTAGAGTAATCTTCACTGTTTTCATCTAGCTTCTACATACGGAACTTTCCAGGTACTTTACAGATAGTTGTATATTTGGTATTCTGCAATGGCCTTAGTATTATGTAACCAAAATGTAACTGTTTGTTACCAAATCAGTCTTTTTAGGAGTGGCTGTTGTGCAAATACAGACCTTACTATTGCTGTCCCCTTGAAAGTCCAGTCACAACGTCTTTCTTAATGTTATCCATTCCTTGGCCCACATCAAAATTGCAGCTTGATAGTACAACTCCCAATTAGGTAAACCAAAACCTCCTCTAATTCTAGCATCTTGTAAGAGTTTTAGCTTTATTCTCGCTTTCTTACCTTGCCATATATACTTCGACACAATTTTATTTAAGTCTTCAAAATAGTCTTTTCCGAGCCTAATTGGTATTGTTTGAAACAAATATAAGATTCTGGGTAAGATATTCATCTTGATTGTTGAGATTCTACCTATTAATGACAATTGTAGATTTTCCCATTTCTTCAAATCTAAGGCTATCTGTTGTTTAAGTTTAATATAATTATTCTCTTTTAATGTACTACATCTTGATGTCAAATATATCCCCAGATACTTGACCTTGTTCGTGACTTGAATTTTCAATAGGTCTGCCAGTTCTTCTCTTTGTCTTAGTAACATATTCTTTGTCAAAATCTTTGTTTTATCTTTATTTATTTTCAGACCAGCCACCTCACCATATGCCTCTATCTTTTCCAATAGTTTTGGAGCTGTTTCTAAAGGGTCTTCCAAAATAAAGGCTAAGTCATCCGCAAAGGCTTGCAGTTTAAATTCTTCCTTTTTAATTTTCATTCCTTTTATGCTTTTATCATCTCTAATATTTCTATTCAACACTTCCAAAGTCAATACAAATAGCAAAGGTGATAGGGGGCATCCTTGTCTTGTACCTTTTCTTATATTAATAGAATCTGTGAATTCTCCCTCTATCATTACCTTTGCCGTTTGCTTATGATATATGACTTCTATTGCTTGAATAAATTTTCTGGCAAAACCCATCTGTTCCAATAGTAGTAACATAAATCTCCAGTTCACATTATCAAATGCCTTTTGGGCATCTAGGAATATCAAAGCCATTTGCTTTTCAGGATGTGCCTCATAATATTCCAAAGTATCCAGGATTACTCTCATATTGTCTCTTTGGCAGAAATCCATTTTGATCTGGATGAATAAAGTTATTTAGATATTTTTTAAGTCTTTCTGCTAAGATTGAAGCAAAGATTTTATAGTCTGCGTTTAATAAAGAAATAGGTCTATAGTTCTTAATTTGCAGTGGATCAGCCTCTTCTTTTGGAATAATAATTCAAATCAAGAGAGCCAAACTTTCAGCTAACCATCAGCATTGCCATTTTGTGGAATTCATTTCGGTTTGTTCTTTAATTCAGCTTATTTTGCTCAGGCAACCTGTCAGCCACTTCCTTGTATTAAATCTTGAAAAATGAGATACTTGGGCCCAGCAGCTTCCTGTAGCTATTAAATAAGAAATACTTCCAGAGGATTCTGTCTTATTTCCAACCACTAAAGTGTGTATTGCAATGGTTAGCCCAGCTGAAATAGGTTCATTTCATGGGCTCATTTTAGCCCAAATATCAGTGTCATTCAGCTAAAGATTTGAGACAAGTGTATTTGGGGAAGCATGGAATCCATCTCCAGATACAGAAAAGGCATAATTTTTTGTTGTATTTGAAGGTAATGGTAGAGGAGAAGCTGTGCTGCATGCACAATTGTGCATTCCAGCACTTTATTACCACCTACCATCAGGCCCATACTTGCTTCCGATTCAGTTGTCATGATGCATCAATGTTAGCGCCAGTGAGCATCTTACAAAGAAAGTGGTGCATGTTTGTTACAATATTTGGCCTGTACAGCACAATATTTTGGTTGCCTCTTTGACTACTTGACGGGTCAGATGGTTTTTCTAATGTCAGTGTGTATGATTCATTGGAAGAAAGGATTAAGCAAGACAGCCACCTTCTTAAGGCCTGTGTCAAGCAAGCATCACTACCCTCAGAGGTCTCAGCTCAAGGTAGGTGTGGCTGGGAAGACGAAACTCAGGAGACCCTCTGGGTAGTGCTTTCACTGCCATCCGTTAGCCCAGAAAGGTGGTTGATTCTGTCTCAGGGATATCTTGAAGGATTTGCTGCTTACATTAGGCCTCCCACACAAGCGAGATAATACCTGCAAATCTGGCCAACTACATTGCAGAGTCGCCTTGCAGCAAGATGGGCAGCAAATAATTTTATAAACAAATTTAATATGGAACAGGTACAGCCTGGCACTCTTGGAAGCAGGACCACCTGTCCAGAAATAAGGCAGTTTCTTCTGGAACATTGCCCCAGGAAAGCAGGAGCAATCTCACTTCCTTGACTTCTGATAAAGTGGCTTTCTGTGACTTGCTACACCCTTTATGACTGTGAATGAAGAAGGGCCCCTCTTGGCAACTATTGTAGGAAAATGAATGACATGCTTCAAAAATTCCAAATAAACTTAGTGGTGCCCAAATGTTGCCTCTTTACTATAGACAATGTCCTACTGTAGTTAAACTGATGGGTTTATCAAATCAATCATGACGCAAAACGGGTAGCAGGTGAACTGCTTTTTTTCTTAGAGCTTTGCTCTAAGAAGGAAAGCACAAATGGATTCAGTCAATGCCATGTTGAACAGATACCATCAAATAATCAGTAGTATTATAACAATGGTTTTTAAAATATTACAGCAGAGAAGTAACATTAATAATACAGTATAGTACTTCTGGAGAAAGAAATCCATGCCATTAAGCACGGTAACTCAAATGTCCTTTGATCAGAACCTTGCTTGTAGAGACCAAAAAAGGCACTTTTTAAAACCAAAGCTGATTTTTTTTTGTACAAAAATAACTCTGGGTTTATTTTCCACTTTAGAATTAGCTGTGGTAACCTCATACCCTCAGTTAATTGTTTGGCCTTTATTATAAGAAGTGGGTTTTTTTTCCCCCTTGATAGTAGTTGGGAGGTTTTGTGCTCATCTTGATTGTTTTAAGAGATTTTGGTTGAATTGAATTGCATCTGGCACAATGTATTTTATCATTTAGGGTTTTTTTTTTTTCATTTCAGGAGTGATATCTGTACATTGATTAAATAAATTAGTGTGAATAGATTTCAAATAACTTGACTCTGCTTAGGACTTACTACTGCCAGAAGGTCAAACTGTGAAGCACAAGGGGTGGGCCAGGCAGAAGTCTAGGCCCACTTAATGATTTGGTCCCCTGTTGGCTGCCCATCTTCGGTCATCATTCTATAGGCTTTCTAGGATAGCCTCCCCCAAGTATTAATATTCATATTTATTAAATTTCAGATGCCATAACGTGCAGTCATAATGGTCAGGTTCTCAGAGCAGCAAAGCAATAACAATAGTGACATTAAAACCAATCAATAGAATGTCTTAAAATCATGGAATTAAAATAAATGTGAAGGACCTAAATGTTTTCATATGTAGCTGTCAGTACATTTCCTGGATCAACCTTCAGGATGACAATCACATAGAAAAGAATTGCAAACTATTATGTTATTTATATTTTTGTAAAATAAACATTTTGGATTTTCTATTGTTAACTTTGGTAATAAAATTAATAAAATGCCTTTTTCTAAATCTGTTTTTGTCACATCTTGTTTGTTTCATTATTATTACCGCTATTTTTTGTATGAGTTTTTATTTGCATGTTAATTGCTCGGTGTCTAGCAGGGCTCAGTGTCTCTAGCATGGCTCTAGCAAATGACTGAAGTCACAATAAACAAATAGAATTCAACACAGTAGTAAAGTCACAGATAAACATGATCTAGTATAAAACATAATGCAGATGAAATACTAAAATCACTGTTAGTAACGAGTTATACCATAGCAATGAAAGTGTAGAAAATAACAGAAATATTAGAAACCCAAAATATTGGCATGCCAAAGAAAAGTCAGCAAGATGAACACCAGGCTGCCTTCCCTTGGGAAAGCATTTTAGAGTTGGGACTGCCACTGCATGGAAAGCCATGGTTAAAATATTGACTTAATGTACTGTATTTTTCGGAGTATCTGGAGTATAAGATGCACATTGTAAAATACTGCCTAGTCAAGGTCCTTGAAAGAAGCTTGACCACCATCACAACAGAGACATTATTTGAAGAAATAGGATTTCTATCAAATTAATGAAGTTGAAAGCCTGCGAACAATTCTGTTGATCTCAGATGATCTGCTTGCAGAAATATAACTGAAAAGAACACATGCCATTTATGTACTGCCTTAAATAAGAGAATTATGTGTTACATGCCAGTCAAAAATGATCATCTAACCCAGTGGTTCCCAAACTTTTTCAGTCCACCACCCCCTTGGTGCTACAAACTCATCCTCGGTGTCCCCCACCCAGGGGTGGGATTCAAATTTCTCTGGGCGTGGCCTAATTTGAGGGTGTGGCTTGCTGGTCACATGACTGGGTGGGCATGGCTTGCTGGTCACGTGACTGGTTGCTTGCTGGCTGGGCATGGCTTGCTGGTCACATGATGGGGTAGGTGTGGTTTGGTGGTCATGTGACTGGGTGGGCGTGGCCAGGTGACTGGCAAACCAAATACAAGTGGTCCTCAATGGCTGGTTGTTTAGCTATGACTGGCCTCCCCAGAGATACTTGACCCATTTTTGGAGTTTTGACAGCCATGCACACACATACACGTGACACACTCCCTTCTAACCCTGCTGGAGCAGGTCATTGCACTAGAATCGGCAAAGCATCTCTGATTAGATTCCAGCAGTGAATAAAATCTAATCAGATGCTTTGCCGATTCTTGTTGATTTTATGTTGCTGAATTGCATTGACATGTGTGTCCCTTCTTGTACACAACCCAGAAGCGTTTGTGATTCTTTGCAGCAAAAATTACCGACCTCTGGCTTTGCTCTACTTTTCAAACATGCCGACACTGCTGCGTTCTAGGTGCCGGCCCCACAGGTCCACCCCATTGAGCCTGCTGCACTGGAGGGACGTGCCCAAGCAAGTCAAGTCAGTGGGGTGAGCCTGGGAGAGGGAAAGAGAGAAAGAAGAGAGAGAGAGAAGGAAGAAAAGAAAGAGAAAAGGGAAAGAAAGAAAAAGGGACAAAGAAAGGGGGGATGGAAGGAAGGGACAGAAAGAAAAAGAAAGAAAGAGGGAGGGAGGAGAAAGTGAATGAGACATCTATTCTA